TAACACACACCACTGCTCCTATACCCTATATCCCAGCAGACCCCAGGTAAGTTGTCAAACTGTTCTTAAACTGTATGACTACTTACTCTGGGGTGGAATCCTGGCACTACTGACACCATAACTACTACACTGAGCTGTAGTGGTTATTGTGCCTGGATTATTTAATTAAATAATCTACAAGTGCCCCTCCCGAGATCAGGCTCTGGATCCGCCACTGAGTGAGTGTATAGTTAATGTAGTGTGTTTGTAGTGAGTGAAGAGTGTGTATAATGAATGCAGTATGTGCGTGTGTTGGATGATGTGTGTGTGAGTGCTGGATGATGTGTGTGTGAGTGCTGAATGATGTGTGTGTGTGTGTGTGTGTGAGTGCTGAATGATGTGTGTGTGTGTGTGTGTGGAGTGCTGGAATGATGTGTGTGTGTGTGTGTGAGTGCTGGAATGATGTGTGTGTGTGTGTGTGTGGAGTGCTGAATGATGTGTGTGTGTGTGTGTGTGTGTGAGTGCTGGATGATGGTGTGTGGAGTGCTGGATGATGGGTGTGAGTGCTGATGATGTGTGTGTGAGTGTGTGCTGATGATGTGTGTGCTGGATGATGTGTGTGTGTTGGATGATGGGTGTGTGTGTGCTGGATGATGGGTGTGTGTGTGCTGGATGATGGGTGTGTGAGTGCTGGATGATGGGTGTGTGTGTGCTGGATGATGGGTGTGTGAGTGCTGGATGATGGGTGTGTGAGTGCTGGATGATGTGTGGGGAGGGGAAGCATTTTTTTTTTACTTTATGTGTATGTATATATTTTTTTATTTTATTCCCCCCTCCCTGCTTCTTACCTTGTCAGGGAGGGGGGAGATCGCCTGGTGGTCCGGTGGAGGGAGCCAGCCGCTCACACAGGGGTGTCATGCTGCCTCTCCAGCTCTAACTCGCGCTGACTCGCCTGTGCGGAGCGTTGCCATGGTAACAGCCGCGGGTCTCGCGAGAGTTATAGCTGGAGAGGGAACACAGCGTGTGATGGCCCCTCTGTGCAGGTAGCAGGGCCGGTTCTGCAGGACAGGTAACGGGAACGGCGTTCCTGCTTTGGAAAAAGTGCAGGAACGCCGTTCCCATGCGTTCCTGCAGGACTCGAGCCCTGTATAGCATACAGGGAGCCAATGTAAGGACCGGCAGAGGGGTGAGGTGTGAGAGGACCGACTAGAGAGGAAGATCAGTCTAGCCGCAGCATTCATGACAGACTGTAGCGGGGCAATACGGCTTTTGGGGAGACCAATCAGGAGAGGGTTACAGTAATCCATGCGGGAAATTACTAGAGCATGGACAAGCTCCTTGGTAGCATCTTGCGTAAGAAAGGGGCGAATGCGGGCTATGTTTTGAGTTGGAACCTACAGGACTTGGCAACAAACTGGATGTGAGGCTCAAAGGTGAGACCAGAGTCAAGTATGACGCCAAGACAGCGTGCTTGCAGGGATGGACTTATGTGGATATCACTGAGTTGAAGGGAGAGCGAGAGAGGAGGATCAGTATTAGGAGGAGGAAAGACAAGGAATTCAGTTTTAGAGAGGTTAAGTTTCAGAAAGCGTGAGGACATCCAGTCAGAGATGGAAGAAAGGCAAGCAGTGACACGTTGCAGGACGGCAGGGGAGAGGTCCGGGGAGGAGAGGTATATCTGAGTGTCATCAGCATACAGGTGGTAGCGGAATCCAAAAGAGGCAATAAGTTTACCTAGAGAGGCAGTATAAAGAGAAAATAGGAGGGGACCAAGGACAGACCCTTGGGGAACTCCAACCGAGACAGGACGAGGGGAGGAGGTATCCTTGGAAAAGGAGACACTGAACGAGCGTTGGGAGAGATAGGAGGAAAACCAAGAGAGGACAGAGTCACAGAGACCGAGCGATTGAAGAGTTTGAAGGAGGAGAGCATGATCAACGGTGTCAAAGGCAGCAGAGAGGTCAAGGAGAATTAATATGGAGTAGTGACCTTTGGATTTAGCGGAGATTAGGTCATTAGTCACTTTGATAAGAGCAGTCTCAGTAGAGTGGAGAGGGCGGAAGCCAGACTGAAGAGGGTCAAGGAGAGAGTTGGAATTAAGGAAGCGAGACACACGGGTAAAGACAAGTCTTTCCAAAAGCTTTGATGAGAAAGGGAGCAGCGATATGGGACGATAGAAGGGGAGGATGGGTCAAGAGATGTTTTTTTCAGGATAGGTATTACAGTGGCATGTTTAAGGTCAGCAGGAACCGTGCCAGAAGAGAGAGAGCAGTTAAAGATGTGTGTTAGGGTAGGCACAAAACAAGGGGAGAGAGATCTGATGAGGTGAGATGGGACAGGATCGAGCAGGCAAGTAGTGGGGCGTGAGGAATGGAGAAGCGCAGCCACCTCTTGTTCAGTAGCCGGGTAGAAAGTCTGGAGGGTAGGGAAAGCAAGATTTACATGTGGTTGAGAAAGAGAACGGCAAGGAGGGGAGATTTGTTTCCTTAGCTGTTCAGTCTTGTCGGTAAAGTAGCATGCAAAGCTATCAGCTGTAAGGTTAGTTTGGGGGGTAGCCACAGCAGGGCAGAGAAGGGAATTAAAGGTGTCAAAGAGACGTCTAGGATTGCGGGAGCATGAACTAATGAGCAAATAATTGAGCAGTAAGACTAGAATTGTATGATATATACACCAAAACTGCTTTATTAAGCAAATGTTTTTTTGATGACTATAGTGTCCCTTTAAACTCATCTAATAATAATAAAGGCTAAAGGTCACATGGCACTGTTCACATCAAAGAAAAAGCTAATTTAAACACTTATAAGAAACTGGCAGCCTCAGTAATTAGCATGCAAGACACTTACCTCTATTGAAAAACTATACTTATTTGACACACAAGATACATAGTTATGTTAGTACACATACCTCTCAACATAAGAAATAGGGACATACATTGGTGGTGCTAAATAGGCATGTAATTGACATCACCAATGATACAAAATGAGTGATCCTGTCAGGAAAGGGGGTGTGCTACCCCAAGAATGGGTGTGTAATTTACCATCTTGTATCTATTAGACAGATGTACAGTGTCCATTTTAGGAAAATTGTCAGATAAAATGGACACTGTACTCCTGTGCAGGGCTCGAGTCCTGCAGGAACGCATGGGAACGGCGTTCCCGCACTTTTTCCAAAGCAGGAACGCCGTTCCCGTTACCTGTCCTGCAGGACCGGCCCTGCTACCTGCACTGAGGGGCCAGCACACGCTGTGTTCCCTCTCCAGCTATAACTCTCGCGAGACCCGCGGCTGTTACCATGGCAACGCTCCGCACAGGCGAGTCTCGCGAGTGTTAGAGCTGGAGAGGAAACACAGTGTGTGATGGCCCCTCTGTGCAGCGGCTGGCACCCTCCACCCGGACCACCAGGCGATCTCCCCCCTCCCTGACAAGGTAAGAAGCAGGGAGGGGGGAATAAAATAAAAAATATACATACACATAAACTTTAAAAAAAAATGCTCCTCCCCCCCACCCACCCATCATCCAGCACTCACACACCCATCATCCAGCACCCACACACCCATCATCCAGCACTGACACACCCATCATCCAGCACCCACACACCCATCATCCAGCACCCACACACCCATCATCCAGCACTCACACACCCATCATCCAGCACCCACACACCCATCATCCAGCACCCACACACACATCATCCAGCACACACACACCCCATCCAGCACTCACACACCCATCATCCAGCACCTCACACACCCATCATCCAGCACCCACACACACACCCATCATCCAGCACACACACCCATCATCCAGCACCCACACACACATCATCCAGCACACACACACCCATCATCCAGCACACACACACCCATCATCCAGCACTCACACACCCATCATCCAGCACACACACCCATCATCCAGCACCCACACACCCATCATCCAGCACTCACACACACATCATTTGCACTTACTACAAACACACTACATTCATTATACACACTCTGCACTCACTACAAACACACTACATTCACTATACACACTCTGCACTCACTACAAAAACACTACATTCACTATACACACTGCACTCACTACAAACACTACATTTATTATACACACTGCACTCACTACAAATACACTACATTCATTACACACACTCTGCACTCACTAAAAACACACTGCATTCATTATACACACTCTGCACTCACTACAAATACACTACAATTATTATTCACACTGCACTCACTACAAACACACTTCATTTATTATTCATACTCTGCATTCACTACAAACACACTACATTCATTATACACACCCTGCACTGCACTATATGCATAGGAGTGTAATTTTTTTTTTAATGGGGGGAGGGGGGGGCGGGAATCTTGGGTGAGTTCCCACACTTTTTTCCCCAGGACTTGACCCCTGCTCCTGTGTAATTAATGTGTGACAGTGGGAAAGTGTCACTGAGAAAGCAAGGGACATGGTATGTGAGAAATAGTGTATGAAATAAATAGTATGTGTTGAGAAATTGCATATTTGTAAGTTAGCTTTTCAATTGGGTTGCTCTGAACTTAACCCTTCACAACAGATATCACCAGGAGCCTCATACTGTCAGTACATGAGGAAGGAGAAACAAATGTGAATTTAATAGACTGCTTCTGCCATGTTTAGTAGTTTAATTGACAGTAGCATTGTTTTACACAGTCTGACATACATATAGGTGTACTTGGCTTGTTTCAAAGTTTGCAGAGGTTTTGCTTATCAGTGTTACTGAGTGTTCTGCTTTATGCTGAATGGTCCATAGGTGTCTGGTTACTTAGTCCCCGGAGTCACTCTCAGCACATGTGACACCCGGATCAGGTGACCACAGTGCAACAGGACAGAATGTCTCCTGAGTCCTCCTTGGTTTCTGTTTTGAGAAAGTCCCTGTGACATCATACCCCACTCCCTCCCACGGCTGTGCACTGTCTGAGCGGAAGCAAGCAGACAAAATGAGACCATCCTCTCTTACAGCAGTAACACTGCTACTGCCTCCAGCCAAGTATTATACACACTGATAAATGTTATCTGATACAAGGAAAATCGGGACAAGATGCTGTCTTGGTGGGACGGCAAGTTCAGAGCTCCATAATGAGGATAGTCCCACCTAAATCAGGACAGTTGGGGCACATGGTACATAAAATAAATGATATGTAGATATAAATAAATACAATATAAATTTGTGTTGGATTTTCTTTTTCACTTAACTTTACTCATATTTTGGAAAGTTTGGCATTTCGATACTTTACTTTTTTCCCCTAGTAAGTGAGTTATTCACATAAGAGTAGACAGACTAGAGAGTAGGGGGTACATTGACGTTGTGGCAGGCTTATGCAATGTATGATCGTAAAATGTAACTAAATCCCCATTATTTGTTGCCTAGATTAGGTATTTTTTTTAAAAAAAACCTTTAGAAAAAAACTTTTTAAAAAAGAATAAAATCTGTCAACATTGAAGTTGATGTTTAGTAGATAGGAGAGTGTGCTGGATCATGTGTATTGTTTATTGTATAATATGGCCCCCAGCAGCACCCCATTTAAACATGTTCAGGTGAGTGCAACCACCCCCCCATGTTTCATATGTATATTTGGGAGTCTAGCCAAATTAAATTATTTCTTGGAACTCCTCATGACATATTGGCATCACCGTTTTGCCTCAATATATGCACCTAATTGTATTATGTTTATAAGTATTTATTTGTAATTTTTATACCATTGCTGTTTTCTTTGCTATTATGGACTTTTTTGTCAGCTACAAAAATGGTGTCTCCCGAGTTGTTTGAGCTATTACTTCCGGAATACCGAAGAAGGACACATAGGAAATGACGAATGACGGTATATGCGTCATAACGCCATAAGCGGAAGTACAATGCAGAGGAACACTATAGAAAACAGAGAAAATAGGAAGCAAAAAGGATGCACTCTTATAGGGGTTAACCCTTTATGAACTACGACAGTAGTAAAGGCAAGAAGAGAGAAAAGGTGAGTGCCCTCGAGTTAAAATATAACTTTTAATACTAAATCAAGTTAAAACAATTTGTACTTTGTATCCAAAATGATTAAAAAAAATACAGTGTTTTAAATATATGCTTAAACTAATAATGGTAAATGGATCATAAAGATGAAAGATAAAATACTAAAGGAACCATTAATTTCCTAAACATTGATAACGATAAGTTGATAAAGGAGGTCCTGTTCAAAAGTTTTCAGGACAAATCTCCAAATGATATGCAAAAAACCAAATAGGTTTTCTCATGCATTCAAGTGTGTACGTCAATTTAGTTAAATAAAAGGAGAGAAACAGTCCATAAAGTATAAAGTAGAAATTGCTACATAAAGTGGTGTAGCAAAATGAGGTTCTAAGGGTCTTAAATGATGAAAAAGTCTAAATACATTAATAGCTTTATGTGAAAATCATGATATCAGCATAATAGCTTAGCCACATAGAACCCCATTCATAGTGCCTGTTGGATCCAGAACATGCACTAAACAAAATATAGTGATATAAGAAAAGTTGTTCTTCACTATATAAATAACTCCTGCAGTGGGAATAGGGGTCACTGCCAAAATAGATCAAGGACATATACTCAGTAGACCCCCCCACTAATATAGCTGGAGTAGGGCTGAATATTGATGTGTAAAGTATGGAATCTAATGACCGTCTGAACAGACGACAATGCTGTAGTAAATGTATATCGATAGAGCCCTTTCCCCTGACGCGCGCGTTTCGCCCACAGCTCATCAGAAGGGAACCGATGTGTGGGAAAGAAACCGATATAAAAAGATAAGTGTGTACATTTGATTGGTCTGATTCAAAAGTTGTCATACATAGTTAACCAATAAAGATGGAGCCGGTAAGTGACGTCACTAAAATCCACAAGTGGGTCACAGCTGCTCAAGTGTATAGATTTTAACCCCTTGAGGACCATCTCGCAAAGAGAGTGAGGTCCAGGGGAGTGACATGTTTATGCCATTATCAAGATATTAGATCTTAAAGTAATATGACTAGAATCACAGAATATATGAGAGGATTACTCGTTGTAAAAAAGCTTAATACTGGTACCCGATTAGTGCCGGTACTGCGTGCAGAGCGAGAGCTCCTGTATAAACAAATCTGTCAATTTATGTTGAAGAAAATAACTTGAAACATAATTCTATATTTAAATAGACATATTCCAATATTGATGATAGTGATTGGCAAACGCCACCAACCTTTTCGGGAACGTGATAGTTATTAGTGAGAGCAATAAAGCAGGCATGATACATAGCCTGATTAACGAAAGGACACTATTAAATTATTGAATATTTAAACCTTGGAATATTTAAACCTTGGAACGCATGACATCACTTCCGGTTTCGGATCTAATCCGATCGAGGGGAGCCCTCCTCTGCTAGCACTAATAGAAGTGCAGCAGAAAAGGCTTCCCCTCTGGGGCAACAATCAGTTCCCATTATACAAATATAGGACAAAGAAAGAAGTCAAAGGACCCTGTATGCCATGAGAATGATAAAGCATTAAAAATCTGCATAGGATAAAAAAGAATAACTATAAAGGACTAAATGGATGTAATATAATATAGACCAGATTAGTACATGGCATTCTTCTTTTTACAGCTATGAGGTTCGCCCCAAGTTTTGCCAACCTTTATGTGGCCCATTGGGAGTTGCAACATGTCACCTTGGGATCCCACCTTGGGGGGAACCTGGTCCTATGGCGACGCTACATAGATGATGTGCTTATTATTTGGGAAGGCAATCACACCAGCCTTACGGATTTTATTGAGGACATTAATCAAAATGATTAAAATCTAAAATTTACTTCTTCAATACATCACGAATCAATAGATTTTCTAGACTTGACTATATATATCGAGGAAAACACATTAAGAACTAAGACATTTTTTAAAAAAAAACCTACTGCAATACTGCAATTAAAAACAATAGTTTACACCATCCACTATGGTTGGACAATATCCCCAAGGGACAAATAATCCGTATGAGAAGAAATTGCTCCACTATACATTCTTTTGAAGAGCAATCTCGAATCATACAAAATAGATATGTGGAGAAGGGATATAATAAGAAACAAATTGATCTGGAAATACAGAATATCAAAACAAAGAATCGATCTGAATTTCTAATAGATAGACAAAAAGGGAATCACAATAAAGGAAAGTTTGAATTTGCATTTACAACAAAATACAACACACATGCAAAAAAGATCGAAAATATTTAAAAAAAACATTGGGCAATCCTTAATCAGGACGAAGTGCTAGGCCAGGTTTTACCAAACAAACCCCTGGTCATATATAAGAAAGCCGATAACTTAAAATCTCAACTGGCCACCAGCCTTTTATATACTAATAAACCAAAGAAACATTTTTTGGAATCATCAAAAACTCCAGGTTTCCATAAATGTGGAAAGTGTTCCACATGTATAAACTTAGACAAAAAGATTGTCGATTTCAAAGGCACATACACCCAAAACACATATCAAATAAAAAAAAAAAATTACATTGTACCACTACATATGCCATATATCTGCTCCAATGTGGATGTGGGGCACAATATGTAGGTAGGACTACCCGTCAACTACATATTAGGTTCAGAGAACATTTTTTTTAATATAAGAAACAAAAAAATTGATCACAGTGTACCTAGACACTGTAACACATGTAGTTCTTTTGAATGGTCCACCTTTCGCGCCTTTGGAATCGATAGGATAGATGTACACTGGAGGGGAGGTAACAGAATGCAAGAGCTAATTAAAAAAGAAGCAGAATGGATATACAATTTAAGAACACTTAAAACCGGTTTAAATCAAGATATTGATTTAACTGGTCTAATCTAATGATATACAAATTAATTCAATAATTATCTTTCTTCCAAAATTTCTTTTTCTCTTTTCTATATCCTGGTCTTATTGATAGTAGCTTGAAATTTATCAATATTTACCTATATAAGTTTCACATCTGGATATATTGTATTATATGTATTATATGGATATTAATCCTTATCTCTATCTTATAGATGGATGCTGAACTCATTACACTTTATATTTGTATATTGTCTAATTGTATTCATTTATTTACTGTATTTGAGAATGCTATATTATGTTAAAAAAAAACAAAAACAAAAAAAATACATATTTTGTAGGTTATATATATATATATATATATATATATATATACACACTATCTTTGATATATGTTCAGTTATTAATATTTGTAC